CCATCATCTCTTTACCGTTAGCTCTCAGCTACATGTCATCATAGTGTAGTCTTCTTTATTTCGTTCTTTTTTGCGACAACGAATGTTGTCTGAGAACACCACGTAGCCATGATGCATGTGACGTTTGTGGCCTCAATGAGCAGGTATTGCCTTTGCCAATCAGCTGGAAGGATTACAACTCACGCAGGGGATTGGTGGTGATCGTGCTGCAGACGGGACGGCACAGGGGTGCTGTATTAAGGTGGCACAAGGCTGAAGCCAACAAGAGGACAGCAAACTCAAGAAACATGGAGTACCGACAACAACAACAGTCGAGGTGTAAGGATGTCGGATGAGGCGTGAGAAGATGAAGAAAACAGTCGGAAGGCTTAGACCTGGGAATGGTTTGGACTCAAACTTCAATTTTGGATCAGTTTTCCTACTGGACTCTTTAGGTTTGGATAAAATGGGCTGAGTTTCTAATGTAAGTTGGTTTGATTTGGGTTTTTTCTATTATTGGTTTGGTTTGGTTCGGTCTGGTCACATACCAAACAATCCCAAACTATTTCAACCCATGGACTAAGAACCAAATCGGCCACCAGCTTCTCCTCCTCACAGTTCGCATCGTAATGGCAATGTCGTCTCGTCGTTACTGCTAAGACCACGGATACGGCGGGTGGCGGAACCAAAACCACAGTCTATGGGCTCGGGTCGTGCACCAGGAAAATCAGAAAAGGCGGGCTAAGGGCTGTGTGTAGAGCAGGTATCGGCTTAGAGCATCTACAACCACACATGATAAATATGACCTCTTAAACGTCCACGGATAGGAACCGGACACTCCTCAAATTAGCACAACTACATCCGGACATCTCATACTAGATTCTCTAATCCACAAAAGCATGCAAACGATAAAACCTACTCCCTCCGTACCTAAATACAACTCGTTTTAGAGATTCCATTATGAACTACATACGCAGCATGAGCGAATGTACACTCTAAAATACGTCTATATACATATGTAGTTTAATGTTGAAATCTCTCTAAAAAACTTATATTTAGGAACGCGGGAAGTACGTACTACATAGATGATCTAGTTACTCATCGTCAGAGATGTCGACAATATTCGTGCCTGGCTTCGACAGCATGGGGAGCACCTGCAGCTCCGACGCCTCCGGCTGCTCCGCTCCGGCCTCCTCCTCCCCTATCTCTGCATCGAGTTCAACGAAGACTGTGCCGGCCGCCGTCTGCTCCTGCAGGAGGAACTGCCGGTTGGCCTCCGCATAGGCCTCATCCTGGATGGACTCCAAGCTGGCCTGCTGCTCCGCCATCTCCGCGGCTTGGGCGAGGTGAACTCCGCCTCCGCCTCCGCCTCCGCCTCTACCATGTTGAACCCCGTAGCAGGCTGGTCCGCCTCGTCCTCCTCCGGATCCGCCAGCTCCATTGGCTCCGACAGCAGCTCTCCTTCCTCCGGCTGCTCCTCCTCCTCTTCCTCCGGCTCCGTCGAGTCTGGGGGCATCCCGGCAGCGATGCGGGCGGCACGCCTTGCCCGGGCTGCCTCCGTGATCTGCCTCCGGCGCTCCGGCGTGAGAATAGCGTACGTGGTGATCAGCCGCCGGACCATGGCAATGCCGGAGAGCGTGGGATAGCGGGGGAGAGGTGGCGGAAGGGATCGAGTGGCGGTACAGAGAAGGAGGAGGTGGATGGGCTAGGGTTGGCCTCGGGTAGCGAGCCGAAGCAGCACCACCCGACATTTACACCATGGCAACGAAGGAGGCATCCGTCTGACCTCTGAGTTTTCGGATGAGTCCACGTGGGACCCCATCATCAGTCCTACGTGGTGGACGCACCCGGGCACCCCATATCCCCCTATATATATTTGGGCTAGATATGAGGAGTGCCGGTCAGCCCAAGCGTTTAAGGCTCGTTCAAGGCGCCCGTCTGGGTCGAAAATTTGTGACCTATCAGTGACTGGGCGGCCCGCCTGGGCGTATGTGGCGGGTTTGGGATGCCGGGCTATAGATGCTTTTAGAGGCAAGCATCTCGTCGACGTCCACTTTCTGCTCCGTCTGGATACAGCGGTTGGCCTCCGCCTCCGACAGAAATGAATCGAGGATTGACTGCTGCTTCGCCTGCATCGGTCAGTGACTAGGTCGTCCGTTCGGGCATTTAATGGGGTTTAAGGCTTTCCGTCACGCATTTGTGAGTATGATGAATCCATTTGTTGTAGGTAATTAGTTAACCATCGAACAGGAGGCCCCTAGGTAGATTTAACGCCAAGTTGAACCTCGTTTAACCATCGAACAGGAGGCCTAGTGTCGCTCCCCGCGAGCGGCCCGAGCACTAACCCTAGCCGCCGGGCACCGCCGCCACCCATCCCACCCTCCTCCCTCGCCGCCGCCGGCGAGCGCCGCCCGGGCAAAGCCCGTGTGGTGTCGGCGGCGGCGGGCTCTTCCACTCCCGCTCGCGAGGTGGGCTGTGCGGGGCAGTTGCGCCAAGCGGACGAGGCAGGCGCGAGGCGCTACGGCGTGTGGCTGTGTGTGGGCCGGCGCTGCTCGGCACGCCATGGTCGCGGCGTAGGAGCCGTGGGCGCACGAGGTCTCCAGCCCGCGCGGCTCTGGCGTCGAGGGCGCGCGCTGTGGCGGGCTTGGCTGCGCTGGGAGGCACCGTGCTCGCGCGCCGGGGATCCGGATCTGGCGCCTGGATGTCGCGCCGTGGCTTTGGCGACCCGGATCTGGTGTGCCCGCGGGGCCCCGCGGCTGGCGGCCCGCCTGCGGCTCGGATCCATGGCGGCGGCCATGGCTGGTGGCACGCGGCGCAGCTTGGCGGTGAGCAGCGCCGGCATGGACAGATGGACCGATTCCCTGGCCATGTGGATGGTGGGGAGGTGGTGGACTTCGGCTGCGGCGGCGGTTCCTCGCTGGATGTTGGTGGCCATGGTGATGTTCGTCCTCGACCCTGATCTACTCCGATCTGCAGCGGATCCGGCCCTTGGTGGCTTCGGTCACCGTTCTTGGGTGCTGGCCTTGCAGATCCGGTGGCTGGAAGGGTTCCGGGGGAATCTCTTGGCCGGCGTGGCGGCCACTCCGATGGCAGTGCCTTTGGGTGTTGCTTCCCTCGTTGGAGGCTTCGGAGAGGACGTCCTTCCTTCCACCCCTCCCAGGAGCTCAGGTGAAAACCTCAAAACCCCCTGTTCCAAGCGACGACGACACCACGGTGTCGTGCTCCTTCCTGAAGGCGTTGCTCGGGGGCTGCTCAATTGGCGGCGGTTCGGTGTCGACACATGCATTCTGGTCAGCTTCATCTTGAAGGCTGCGACGACGTAGGCGACGCTCGTCTGGTGGAGCTACTGCTGATGGTCGAGGCATCGTCGGCAGTCTGCGCCATCAGGTTCGGGGTGCTCAGGGGGAAACCCCAGATCTGGGTCTTCCGGATCGGATGATGATGGCGTTCTATCGCTTACCCTTCTGGGGCCATCGTCTTGGAGCAAGTGCTGACTGGAGGGATGGTGGAGCGGTGTTTCATCTCACACTTTGATGGCGGCGGAGATCGATGGCATGGCGCTGTGGAGACTCGGCGTCCGATGTGCGGAGATGGGCTCGCGCAGGAGGAGGTTGTTGTCTGGCGTTATGGTGACGTCGATGGCTGAGTGGCCAGACAAGGTAGAAGCCTCAATATGATCTGAAGACCTGTGAAAGATGGCGGCGACGACACACGAGTGCGTCTGACCGGGTTGTGCCCCAGACCCGTTATGTGGCTCGGCTGGGGCCTCCGAATGAGTTTCGGCTTCCGGCTTTTGATGTTAGGCTTAGGTGAGTGGTTTGGGTAGTGGCCCAGCTAGCACCCCTTCATCATTTTCGATAGGAGTAGCGGCATATGTTGCCAAGATGGTGGATTCAGACACATTGTTGTAACACTTTGTAAGGTCCTCGAGAATAATCAATAAAGTGTCGTATGCATCAGAGGCCGGGGGTCATCCTCCTTTTCTAAAAAAAAAATTGTTGTAGGTATGGTGAATCAGTTGTGAGTGCGTGGCTAGCTTTAGAGTCCACATGCACGCATGCATGTTTCATTGGTCACGCATTTTAAAAACGACAGCGACAGAAATTAGGAGGCATGCGGCAGCAGCTAATCAGAAACGACAGCGATGGAAATTAGGAGGCATGCGGCAGCAGCTAATCAGATACTGTACACGCCCATGGTTTGGAACTTCAGGTACGAACTGTATATAGTCTGGATTGGTTTGGATTGAAAATATGTACAGTTTGGGTTGGTTTGGATTGCACCCTATGCTGTTTGGTCTAATCTGGTTTGGTTGCTGGACTTATACACATATGGATTGGGCTGGGTTTAGTCTGGATTACAAATTATTCCCAGGTTTAGGAAGGCTTGTCGCCAGAACCAAGACGAAAACAGTCACATGAGAAGCGCTAATTCTACAGGAGTTTTACCTAATGACATTACCATGCAGGGAGACCGGCTTTTCACTGAACCAGTATCCAGTTAGTTCCACGTGTATGAAAGGAGTACACATTATTAGAAGGATTCTGACAGAGGAACAGCCAAAGATGTGACCTGGTTGACCCAAAGTAACCCAACCACATACACATTCAAAAACTTTTACTAACAGAAAAATATACTCCTTGAGGACATTATGTGACGGAGGGAATATGTGTTTAAAGCATCACATATCTTCTTTAGTTACAAGACATTTGCTCCGATATAGAAAATAGAGGACAATATATTTGTATCTTTTACCAAAGCAATCAAAATAGCGTGGTTCCTAGAATTTGCTTCAAAATAGCACGCACGACTAGTAGCAACAGAAGGCTGCCTAATGAATCAAGAAATACGCGTGTGCACAGATAATGGGCACGATGCAGAGGCCGAGGGATGTCCCCTCTTTTTGAAAAGAAAAACACAGATAAAGGACCGGTGTTACCATATCCAACAGAAAGCTAAGCAAATGTAACCATGTCAATAAAAGACATAATTTGAATATTGAGTGAGCTTCTTGTAGCTAGCTAGCTACCTGTTGGCCTTTCAAGGTGTTTGGAGAAGACAGTTGGAAGTAGGAGCGTATTAGGAAAATCGTTTCTGGCATCCACACACTCAGCACAACCCACATCCGCACACTTAGCACAGTAGGAATGTCGATTGATATATGGAGTACATGACCGCATATAGGCATGCTTCATGTCAACCATGATCATCCACCCCTTGACATTAAATTCCTCCTCCCTTAACAAGCAGCAAAGAACATCTGGGTCCTCGACGCTGACGATTGGGAACTCGGGAAGACGCTGCCGTATGCCCAGAGCTTCGTAACCACGTTGCGCCCATAGACAATCCAGGTTGATCACGCCATGTTGCTCCCACTTGAACTTGTCGGAGTTCAAAGTCCATATGGTGATTTTTTGGGAACCCTGATGCTGCTGCCCTTGGCTTCTTCTCTCGGGAAGCTGACGCCATGGCCAGTCATCCTCGATTGTCTCATGGAAGTCATTGTCAATGTGGACAAAGCGCATCTTGCCTTGGCTGATGGACACGTTCCGGAACCTCCCCGGGAACTCCCTTGGGACCCGTACCTCTGCAGGGTATTCCTTCTCTCCAGGGAAAGGTACGAAGTGGAGCGTCGGAGAACCGATAGTGGAAGAGAAGTCAGATAGCAGGACACCGCTGAAGTAGTCAACCCAGCAGAGGAAACGACCGTCGAAAGCGAGCGCATCGTCAGTTGACCATTGGTTGGGGAGCTGACCACTGCTGCTCTTGTTCTGCTCCGGCGTGTGCCAACGTATCAGGCCAGGCGTAATGGAGATGACCTTCCAGTCTTTGGCCTCGGAGGAGGAGTTGAAGACGCAGAGTGCGCCATCCAGGACACAGAGGTCGGCGACGATGAAGCGCTTCTCCGGGAGCCGCAGGATGCCCGTGGTGAATTTACCCTTCAGGAAATGCCGCCATTTCCTATCCTTGGCGTACATAGGGAGCCGCTGCACCGATGGGGAAGGGCCGGCGGCCGTGTAGACGAACAGAGCTGCCGGCGCGCGCAAGTAGGGAAGCCGGCTCGGGTCGTAGATGTCGAAGAGGACGAGGTCCTTGTCGGTTGCCCGGAGCAGGGCATAGACGGCGTCGGAGCCTTCTCCCACCGGCCAGTGGAGGTTGAGGTAGGAGACCCCTTGTGGAGCCGCGAGGGTGAAGGACACGTAGCAGGAGCAGCCGCGGTCAATGCGGAGTCGAGCGGCGGTCTTGTTCTTGCTGACGACCAGACGAGCGGCGTCTAGGTCCTTGTGGCAGCGGGTGCAGCCCATGCGATCCAGCATCGCCCAGTCGGGGAAGACGGCGGCCTCCTCCATCGCCCAATCGGTGAAGACGTCGGTCTCCTCCTCCTCTTCCTCCTCCGCCATCTTCCAATCGGAGAGGACGACCGTCTCCTCCTCATCGGAGCTTGGCCCGGCTTCCATGGGCAGCATGGCGATCGGGATCGGGAATAAAGCAGCTGCCGCCTCCCTAGCCCAAAAGGACCCTAGGTATAAAATTTTGGGCCCAGTTCGTACCGACGAGTACTTCTCGGACGACGACCAAGCACAGCTGACTGATCACGATGAAGTTCTTTTACGTTGATGAGATTGCACCGCACCCGATCAATCTTTCGCTGGCCGCGATGCAGTTTAGCCGAACCTAGGTCACGTAGAAAGGTATTGCCACAGGATTTTGTGTTGCTTCAAAACCACAGTAGTAGTACAAGTTACAGGGTGCACGCATATACTATATAGTACTCTGATGCTAATCGCCTGAAGCAATACTACTCGGATACTAATTCCTACATGGATACATACAAGAACAAGAAACCTATACACACCAACACGAGGTTATGTCGTGTTTTTTTTTTCGCAAGCGAGGTGTACTGTCATTGCCCGATACAGTAGGATTTTGCGTCGTCAGTTGCCATTGCTCGCATGTGCATGACGGGCTCTTATAAGAATATATTTTTAAATGAAGTTAAAAAAGAATATATTTTCAAATGTGATCACTTTCTAAAATTATATGAACAATTTTAAATTGCATGAAAAACTTTAGTTGCACAAAAAACTTCTTAAAAACTTACTACATTTTTTTTCAAACATGAAAATTTTGAATTATTTAAAATATGTGATTTTTAAAAAAAACATGAATATTTTTTAGATTCATATGACTTACTATATGTGTGAATATTTCTACATAAAAGCCGAGTTCTTGGTGTAGTGAAATCCTCTAGCACTTGACGCTCTGACTTGGTGGTTTGATTTGCAAATTTCACCAAGTTGTTCTGGGGTTGGAAGTCGGCGATTAGCGGGATGGGGTAATTCAAGTCATTGGAATCTTGCCAATTGAAATATCATGGTTTGTCGATTACAGATGGTGAGTAGGAAATTATAAAATTCTATATCCAAAAACAGAGTAGTCGGCATAATTGAATAACAAGAACCGAAACTGAGTTTTTTACCAGCAAGGTAAAAAGGTCAGAACTGGTGGATGGGGAGGGACGGGAACGAATGGTCACAGAGTCAAGTTATACCAACTGGGCCACATTTCAAAAAAGAAAAAAGGAAACCTATCAAGTACTTAAGGCCTCCCTACAGGCTTATTACTAGAGCACCAAACAAATTCAACCAAATAAACTGGAGCAACAGACATATTCTGTGTCTCCTCAATGTCAGGTACAGTATGTCAAAGGGGTGCAGAGAACATCAGGCATCTACTCTTCACGTGTGAGCAAGCCTAACAGGTTTGGAAGTTTCTCAGAATTCATGATTTTTTAGAAAAGGAGGATGACCCCCGGCTTCTGCATCTAGACGACGCATACTGCCACTTTATTATTTATTCTCACAAAACCTTACAAAGCCATACAAAAGCAAGACTAAAGCCACCGTCTAAGCAACAACTGTCACTACACCTATCCAATTGATGAAGGGGCGCAGATAGTCTGGGCCTAATACCAAACAGACATCGCAGCCAAACCTAAACATCTAAGACCTGAGGTCCCAACCAGGACGCCTGTCGGGTATGAGGCACCTACCAGTCCGATGCTCTCCTCAACCAGGACGCCTGCCAGGTATGAGGCCGCTGTAGCCATCTGCCATCAACCATCTTCAGAGTTGTACTGTTGCATGTACCGTGCCAGGTCTCTCTGCCATCGACGCCACCACGACGCCCGATAGCGTCGTCCTCCTGCGCGAGTCCATCCTCCCACATCGAACTCCGAATCTGCACTGCTCCACACCCTCAGGATCCGTCGCCATCAGTGTATAGGATGAAGCACCGCTCCACCAAAGAATCTGTCCTCTGGTCCCTCGATCACATGTGTACCTCCAAGAATGACGCCCCCAAGGGAGGAACGACACCATAGCACCGCCGTCATCCGATCATCCGATCTGTGGTTTCCCCCGGAGGTAGCAGAGAGTGGCCTTGGACTTCTCCACGGCGATGCCTTCAAGAAGGGAACGACGCAGATAGCGCCGCCACTGCCGGCCTTAGCAGGAGCCGAAGGCAAATTTTCACCCAGATCAGTTCGAAGGGATCCAACTCTCGTGCCCGGGCCACCGTCACCACCAGCACCACGAGGCAGACCCTGGAGTACCGGCATATCAGCGAGTCACCGGCACCACCGCATCCAGATCGCCGGCCACGCCGGGCCGCCGCCATCCCCCGTGCCGTCCGGGTCAGAGACGGAGCCGCCGACCGCGCACAGGGACCGCCGCCGCCTGCACACATCGGAGCGCCGCCGAGATCCCGGCGCCCGGCACCGCTTGCCGAAGCCAACCGCCTGAGCACTGGCTCCACCGTGAAGCCATCAGATCGGGGAGGAAGACACGCGCCGACCACCCTCGCGTACCCCGCCGCACGCCCGAGCATCGGAGCCACCGTGGCGCCATCAGATCGGGATGAGGAGGAGCCCGCGCGCTCGCCGCCTCGCGCAGACCACACCGCCGCCAGCGTCGCAGCGCCACCAAGCAGGGGAGCCCCGCCCAGATCCATCGGCGGCCCGACCTGTCGCCGAGCCGAGCGCCGCCGCGAGGGCCGGCCGTCCCGCGCCGCCCAGGAGCCTCGCAAGGGGGGAGGGAGCCCCGCCGCCGCCGACGCACGCGCGGGCTTTGCCCGGCGGCGGCCCCTGGCGGCGGCGAGGGAGAAGGAAGGCGAGGAAGGGGAGCGGCGGCGGCGATCTAGGGTTCCGCCCGGGCCGCTCGCGGGAGCGGCACGGGGGACGGGGGGCACTAGGATTCCTCGTTACCTTGCCTTGCGACATGCATTCCCATCTCGGAATTCATGATATTGTAGAAAAAACACTTTTTGTTAATCAATCGGGGTCCATCATTTTGGAGGAGATCCTTTGTCACACCGGAGCATCGTCACCGGTTCTCGGACAAATTGGTGTGAAGGTAATTGTTTCAGCGGGTGCCTGGTACATTTGGTGGCAAAGGAGTAAACTTGTCAAAGGACAGCAAGTAGCTTGGCCGGCTAGAACAACATTTGCTAATCAGGCTTTCACCTCAAACCATTCTACCGGGCGAGCAGTGAAGGCACATGAAATTTCATGGACAAAGCCACCATGGGGTTCATATAAACTTAGGGACTGTCTAGGTCTCAGTCGACTGAGACTTCGCGAAGTCTCAGTTGGCTGACGTCATCATATGTAGATTAGGCCTGTTAAGTGGCTCTCTATCTGCTGGGTTGAACCGGCTTAACACCTGGGCTGATTTCTCTTTTCCTGTTTGTTTGTTTGTTGGGCTGGGCCATGACATTGTTTGCTTGTGGGCCTGGACGACATAGGAAAAAGATAAAAAAAAACTATTTGCTGCTCTGCTTTATGAACTCTACTTTTTGACTGAACCCAGGCAAAACCCCATGCCCACAAGCATGGAGAAACTCACTAGTGTAAGGGCGTCTGATCTCTTCTCTGATTTTCTCCTCCTCCCACCTTTCCCCCCGTCTTCTCTTCTGTGATTTGTTCTAGATCTGATTTTCTTTTCTCTCTTCTCATGTTTGTAACAGCAATCCTGTAGCAGTATGGAAGATTCCTGATGGGACAGAGGTTAGAGTTATAATTTGTAGGAAAATTAGAGAAGTGGCAAAACTGAATCAAGTACTATTTGACCGCATGTGTGTTGTAGCAATTCTGACAGCAGAAAATCATTTTATTTTTAACTGTATGTCCATGAAAAATTGATGTTGGACTCCTCCCTACAAAAGTTGTATATGGATTGATTGGTTCATGTTTTAGGACAGAATATGGCTTGGTAATTAAAACAGAAATCAGTAGGGTGCTGCCCTCTCCCCTGCACAAGACACTAAAAAGAAAGACTGAACTTTTTTCAAGATTTGCTACAATGGGGTTGTATTACAAGCATATTATCATACATGACCCTACCTAGTGTACAGAAACAGATGAGAAAAATGTAGCATGGTTAACATCTAGTTTGGTGACTACAGAAGATCAAGAATGTATAGTGTTAACTAAGAAAAAAGAAACAGAGGCATAGAAAAAATGAACCTTTCTTGTGGATGACCAAATATACCTCAGCAACAATGTTTTCTCTGAACTATGGCACAAAGAACTCCAAACAGCTGTGGACCAGGACCAGTTAATCTGCTGACACCGGTTCATGTAAGATTGATATTTTTTTGGAAAAAAGGTTGTTTCACAAGGGTGGCCAAAAAAAGGAACTTAGAACATCACTCTCCATGTGCAGCAGCCATACCTTGGTGTCCAACATGTGCAGCATCAACAAACTGTGATGAATCTGGCATCCCAACCATCTTCAAGTGCATTTGCACAACATGTATGTGCTTTCATGAACAACAAAAATAAACTCTTTAAGTTATCTGCCTTGATGAATATAATCTGGTACTCTGTTACACATCAAGTTCTAACATGCAAGAAAAGTAAAAAAATGCAGGGTCATGCCGAATGCGAGTGCCTCAGAAAATAAATAATAATAATCTCAGTATGCCGAATGCCTCAGAAAATACAAACAAGCATTGGCAATGCTCAGTGCCAAGCAAGCAATTGAAGGGACATCAAGCAATTGAAGGGACATCGGTAACAACCAAGTACAAGTACATCACATCAGAATTCAATAGTTACCTTCGAAAAAATCTCAGCTACCTACCTCTATTTCAACGTCGGCCATGGAATTTGTTCTCTTCATTTCACACTCAGAAAAGTACGAGGTCAAGCCAAACAAAAAACTAATTCGCTCCCTCAGATTCATGATTCACACCCAGAAAAAACATAAAAAAAAACATACCCAAAAATCGTCATCTCCATTTGCAACCTCCATCCCAGAATCTAGATTCACACCATATATCCCCTAGCGGGCAAACAAACAAATCTGAGATAATAAAAGCTTGTCATAAAACTGTGGTAGAGAGTAAGTGTGGATGGTTAATGCGTTCACATATTGCTAATTGTAACTAGTAAAAGGAAACACTC